CGCGCCTGCTCCTTCCAGACGGCGGGGTCGGCGTGTCGGTCGATGGCCTTGCTCCGGAAGACCTGCGAGAGGAGGGGTTGAATGAGGTGGAGGAGGGGGAGGGGGAGGTTGAAGACGGGACTCCCTCCGTCGGGCACGTGGTAGGCGGAGGCAAGGAGGACGAGGCCCAGGAGGGAGGGAGAGGAGGGGGACGAGGAAGGAGGCGAGGCGGGGGAGGTGGTGCTGCTGCTGATGGCGAGGCTTGCTGCCAAGGAGGAGGAAGAAGGCGGGCGGTGCCCGTCGAGGAGGGGGGGCGGTTCAAGGGGGAGGGGCGCGGGCAGGCGGCGTCCACTGTCGTCTTGCGGGAAGGGGTGGATACGATTCGCATGGGGTGAAAGGGAAGCGATTTCTGGCTTTTGAGCTTCTTGAGAAGGTGGAGTTGGGGTGTTTCCGTCCTGGGCCTCGCGCTTCTGCCCTTGCAACTCTCTTTCCACGACAGCCGCCAACCGCATCGCCTGCGAAGAGCCAAACGAGTGCCCCACCAGGACGTTCCTCCTGCCTTTAAAGCGCTGGTACACCTCCAGCAAGTCCTCAAAATGCGCCTCTGTGCTGTACGCACTGGGAGGTACATTCTCGGGCTTGGGGCCGTCCCCGCAACCGTAGGCGTCGTAGCAGACAACGCGACAATGCCGTCGGAGGGAGGGCAGGATTCGGGAAAATTGACGCCACGTGGCCATGGCTGGGAAACCCCATGATGGAGGACGCGAGGGAGGGAGGGGAGGAGGGCAAGAAGGAGGGGTGAGGGGGGTAAGGTAAGGAGGGAAGAGTCACACGACAGGGTGCACCCCATGTTGTTCCTTTTCGAGAAAGGGAAGACTACTGGAGAGGTGGCAGGGAAAAACATGGAGTACAAGGGATTGCCCGGGCGCAGAACGCAGGGTTCGACACCGACCTCCGTGGATAAGGAAGATCGTGACCGCGTCCTCCGTCCCTTCCCCAGCTGTATCCCCCTGCGTTTCATCGCCGGCCATGTCCTCGTTTCCACGTGGGGGCGACAACGGCTGTTGATGCGGGCGCTGGGCATTCCGGTGACGTCGATGGTGGGGACGACACGGTATCTCCAGCAGGCTCACCGCGCGTGGAGACACCGCCCCCGAACATCCGGACCGGGGCCTCAGCGTCACCAACTGCACTGGAGGAAGGGTTTCTTCCTCATGGGGTCGACCCCAGAGTCGCTGCGGGCACGTCTCGTCTTCCATCGCAGCATCTGGAAGGATTCCAAGGAGGTAAATAAGGAATAAGGGGAATGAGGAGGAAGTGGAGCAAGCTATGCGTTCAGAAACGCACTGCTCAACAGTGAGGCCAGGCGTGAGGCAAAACCCTGCTGTGTCGCACATTTCCAATGTTTGATATAAGTGTGCACGAACTGAGGAGGTTATCTTAATTTTTTTTGAAACAACAGTTTATCTTAATTTTTTTGGAAACAGATACGCATGCAATTAATGATTGACGCGGAGGTAGCCCGGAATGAGGAATAATATGCCTCACAGATGCATAATAGAAGCCTTGCCAAACCGGCATCTGTTCGTGAGAATCGTGAGAATCTTAGCACGAACAAAACACGACTGACATTCCTGAAACATGCGCGTTCCACCAGCTCAGATAAAATAAAAGGGTGCTTACACAAATTCTGTTGCAAAGACTTATTTCAGTGCCACAGCCTCCTGCCATATGCGTGACGTCTCGTCTTCGTCCCGCTTTAAATCGCGCTCGCTGATCTGGGTACGAATAAAATGCCGTGGGAACAGATCGGGCGTTCCTGGGAGGAAAGAGACGGCGAGCGTGGGTTTTGTTTTGAGGTTTTTCCCGGGCATGTGAGAGGCTTTCCTCCGCTGTCAGCGACGGAGCCTCCGGCTGGCTCTCCTTGCCTCTTTGAGGTTGCTGATATTCTCATCTTTTCCCCGTGCACACAATATAGAGACTCCATACCGCCCAGTCAACATGCAAGTCCTCCCGTGTGTCTTCACGTTAGTATGTGCGGTGCCCGCTTTCGCTTTTATGCCCCCCACCGTCTCTCACCCGCGAGGTACGTGAAGATCATGCGAGCAGCAGCTTTCTCACCCTGTCCAAACCCGCTGGTCTATGGCAACCCATCTTATCGTTGGATGTTTTCACCAATGGCAATCATACACGCACGGATAGGCATTACTATGAGCGCAGAGATGGGACAGGACCGCCGAGATGTTGTCAAGAGTACCTTTGGTGAGTTACTGCATGACACATCCTCGCACACACCCTCGCCCTCTGCGTCCGTCTTCCACACGCTTATTCCACGTGGCCCCCCGTGTGTCCGATCGTTTGGTGCTTGGTGCATGTAGTGCGTTTATCTGCATACATTCTCTTTCGACATCGGATCTCTCAAATATCTGCGACTCTCAACCCTCGATCCTGGTCGTTTCCCTGCCTTCACCTACCCCTTGCTCCGTGCGCAGGCTTCGCGAGCGTGCTGGGTGTCTTGGCATCCCTTTCGCCCTCCTTTCCCGCACAAGCCGGGTATTTGAACAGCGATAAACTTCCGGAAGTGATCAAGCCCTCGGACGCCGAGGTGGACCAGGACATTTTGAAGTCCTCCGAGGTCCAAAATGAGTTGAAGGCCATCCGAAACTATAAGGAAGGGGTATCAAGTTTGAGGTCTGAATTAGCCGGGAACGCACAAGTGGATTTGTACTCTCGCGTACGCAAGGTAGGTGGCATTGGAATTATGGCACGCGCATCACTGTTCCTCTAGATCTTTCCATTTGATATCCTCCCTTTCTTTCCTCCCTCCCGGCGCCGGGTCCCCTATCCTCGTGTTGCCCAGGACTTGGACGTCTCCTCCCTCCGCGACTCGCTCAACAAAGTGAACACGGTCTTCTCCGAAGACACTCAGCGAGGCACGGACCGGATCGTCCGCATCATCTTGCAAGGTAGGCCATCCCCCCACCCAAGGCCATCAGGGAGAGGACGGGATCCAAGGACTCAAAGCGAGGAGGGAAAGCGCACCGCGGTGTTGCCATGCTCCTGTCAAAGGCTCTGGACACTCACTCAACTCAAGTATAACTCAAGCATAGATCGCGCCGTTCGATTCCCGTGCATGGTGTGGGTCCGGGCTCTCACCCTTCTCCTCCCCACCCTCTTCCCTTCCTTTGACCACACTCCCTTTCGCGCCATAAATTAGACGTAAACGAGCTAGAGGCGGCGACGCGGCAGCGACCCGGGACCCAACGTTCGGACACCAAGCTGAAACTGATCACCAAAAAGCTGAAGAAGCTCGATGCGGCCTTCGCTGAATTGTTGACGTACTTTTAAGGTGGCGGCCCGGGACTCAGGACCCACGTCGGAGGCTCTTCCAGGGTCGAGCCATGCCGTTTACGAGGAAACGACGTCGTCCGCGCGGTGGAAGCAGGGAGCAAGCAGGGCGGGGAAGAAAGCGGAGGGGCGTCACGAGGAACAACACGTGCTTGTGGGACGGTCCCACATCGAAAGTGGTCGAAGGGGGGGGGTTAGGGTCCGAGGGCAATGCTGGCACGCTTGGGTACGAAAAAACGACCTTTTCGGGCGCGGAAGCAGACAAGGTGCGAATGCCGCGTGCGCGTGCAGAGGGGGGGCGATGTCCTGTAGGAACCTTGTGGAATGAGAGGAAGGACCGGGGGCCCAGCAATGACCCAACCGGCGAGAAAGCAAACCAAGCTATCGTCAGAAGCGTCCCGTCACTATTCCGTCGTTTTCCGTTTCTTTTTGCGTGAGTTTCAAACTCCCCCTCGCCCTCCAGACGCGCGGAGCCTCCTCCCCCCCGCCCTTCGCACTCCATTCCATGGCCGAACCGGCATCGCGCTCTGCGCATCCCATCACCCCTTCCCCGCTTACCCCAACATGTCCTTGTCTCCTCTATTTCTCTTCTCCCCCCCCCCACACTTACATGGACCCTACTCAC